ATGATGGAGGGCGGGATGGATAAATGAACAGCAAGGGCTTCAGCGAAACCACCAAATTCATCTTATTTAATACTTTGTGACAAGACAGTTTAAAGCACAGTGTTGTGTAGCTCAATCGGATAATCTTTATCTTTCATCTGACAGAGGCAGGTAAAATGGTGATGCAGAGAAGTTTTTTAAAGTAAAAATCTGCGTATCGAACCTAATCTGAGACTCCCTAGGGAGGCCCACAGGCCCTTGTTCTCACCCCATGGAGGGGAGGATGTGGGTTGTAGAGGGAGGGTGTCTGGACCCGACTCCCAAGTCTACCTCCAGCTGTGGGCACATCCTCCACCTCTCTTTTCTTTCCCATAAGATGGCTCTAATAATAGTACCTGCCTATTGCGCTGTTGGAAGAATGAAAGGAGTGAATATGGAGAAAGTGTCTGGAACAGCACCTGGCAGGCAATAAGGCATTTCATAAACCTTAGCCATTGTGGACTTATTTCCAGAGAAGAAACAATTTTAGGGGATGATTTTCATGGAGCGCAGGCAGGCATTTCCCCTCTAGTTTAAAAGCAACAACGACAATCCCACAGCGCTGGGTGGTCTGTGTACATCACGAAGCTGGAGCTCAGCAACATCTTCCTAGGAGCTTGTGTAAAGGGCTGGTGATGAAATTTCCACCCTGGGGAAACACCGAGAGCTACCCAAGCTACTGAGAACTTCAAGACAGTGAGTACCTTTATTTTTCCCAAGATGGGGCACTTGGGGCCCCTCCTAGTCCAATCCCCCAAATTCCATCTGTCTGGGAATTCACAATCAGTCACCACATGGTTAGAATCCTAGGATTTCGCAAGGTCATGATCTAAGACTGAAAGGGACTAGAGTGATCGACCATTTTTAGTGCACCCCTCCTGCTTTTAGCCACCACAGAAGGTGTGACAGGGGAGGGGCGGGGGTCAGTAAACAGCTTGTCTATGACCACACAGTCCATGTGAGACCAGAGCTATGACCAGCCCCTCACCCCCACTTCTGGAACCCTGGCCTGGGGCTGTTTGTCCTGTACTCAGTTATACCTGGCAGTGTTATGTACACATTTGATCTTCAATAAATATTCCTTGAACGAGTGAATAAGGGAAACCAGCCTTAAATGTCCCCTTCTTTCTTTCCTTCCTTCCTTCCTTCCTTCCATCCTTCCTTCTTACTGTAGTCTCCACCTGCAATGTGGGACTTGGACTCATGACCCCGAGATCAAAATTTGCATGCTCTAAGGGCTGAGCCAGGTACCCCTTAAATATCTGTTTCAAAAGCATTTGGGGGGTTCCTTTTGTGAATTTTTGGGGGGAGGGGAAGTGAATTACCCTCTCAAATGCTCATCTTTCCCTCCAACTAAATTCCCCATATATAGCCCTGTGTGCATCTAGGAGAAAAAAAACTCCCCCATCCTGAAGTTTTCATTATCTTCCTTTTTAAAATACTACCTCCCAGTATCATTGTCAGAAGTTCCTCTACTGGTTCATTTTTTTTCCTCTCATCTAAATCTAATGTAAGATATTCACAGAAACATAGCGATTAGACAAGTATAAACTATTGGTTTAGTTCCCTCACCCACCCGAACCTTGGCAGGGCAGGCCGGCCGCAGCCTCGCAAGGGAATTTACGTAATAACGTGATGACATTGAAGAAAGAGGAGAAGCTCTGTCTGGTCAGTCTTCCTTCTGCCTGCCTCGGTCGGATCCTATCCCCTTCTTCTACATTCTCTGTGAAGCCTACTCCCAGCCTTCTTCCAGACTAAAATTCTATTCTCCCTTTAAAAACTGTCGTAGCATTTTATTGGGACTGTTATTACACATTATCAATCACTTGTAACTTCTTAATTGTATTTAGTTATGCAAGTAATACAGAAATTAATTCAAATAGTAAAATTCCAAACGTTGTAACAATGGTTACAGATGGGTATGAATAATTGTATGACTAAACTCTTCCTTGACAATTTCTCCAGTTCTTGTCTCTTTCAGTGGGTGTCTTTATGCCCTTCCTATCTTTTTATATGTGCATTTTTACTTACAGAATACATAGTATTTTGTTTTTGTTTTTGTTTTTTACAAAAATAGTACCATACAGTATGTATTGTTCTGCAACTGCCTTTTTCATTAGTATGTCTTGGTGACCTTTCTGTCTCAGTATATATGGGCTTACTTCATTCTTTTTAAATGCTGCCTGATCTGTCCAGAAGATAGATGTACCAGATTTTATTTAGCCATTCCATATGATGGCCATTAGGTTGCTTTCAGTTTCAAAACTGCCAAAACTCTGCAATGTGAGGGAATTACATAATCTGTGCCTGCTTCCCTAAGATATAGACCAAGAAATGGAATGGCTGGGTCACAGAGTGTGCTCGTTATTTGACTTTAACAGTGCCCTCCAAATTGGCTATACCAGTTGACACACCTGTTAGCAGTGTAAGAAAGTAACTGGTTTCCCACTTAGCTTGCCAAGAGTAATCATTTTTTACCTTGTCTTACTTGCATACATATTTTATCTCCTAGGCTTGGAACCTGAGCTCTCTCAGAGCAAGGCCCATGACTTCTACATATGTGCATTGGTTCCCCCAACCAGAGGTGTTTAATAATTGGGTCCCAGTAGATGCTTGGGGAGTGATCTCCAATCACAATCTTTGCTCATCCCTGTGCCAAAAAAGCATTTATCTTTGAGGTTATTTCTTAAGAACGAAAAAATTTTTTTCAAAAACTTGGTTGGATTTTTGTACATCCTTCCCCCTGGCCAAGTTACAGATATCATTCATTTAAAGTTGTCTGCCTAAAGCAGGATTCCCTCGTGCTCTGCAGGCAGGAGGCAGAGAAAGCAGACCTGCCTGTCTCAGACAACAGCTAGCAGGGTGTCCCACCCACTGGGAAAAGCCTCAGAATCCCTGGGAAGCAGACAGAAGATGAGATAGAGAGGGAGTAAGGTCCCTCTTTGGAACATTCTAGATCCAAGGAATGAAATTCTTTTACAGAGTTCTGAAATAGAGGAAATCATTCATAATGTCCGAAGCATGGCAATAAATGGATCCAGGTGAGGAAGACCTGTGACAGGCTAGCAGAACTGGAGCAGAGAACCGGAAATAAATATATTTTCAATTTGGTTACAGGAAAGGAAGGTTTTAGAGGTGTGAATTACTGGATGCAAGATAAACTTTTCCTTCAGGCAGAGCCTATATTTATTTGTATGATAATCTTGGGCTAAAGCGATTCTAAAAATCCGTGAGCGTGGTTCCAAATCTTGCCGTTCTGAACACTCACTTGGAAAAAAAAAAAAGGAGTTTTCCAAAAGGGTAAGAGATAACTTTCAGTTAAATATGAACGAGCTGAGAATTGTGTGTCGCTAAATAAGAAACAGTACAAACGGAGGCGCGTTTCGCTCTGGATAACGGTTCTATTCCTCTCGCCTATTGAACCGTTTCAGTAGCAACTGTGCAGCCCAGGGAGGGGCCACAGGGGTATTTGGACACAAACACAAATGAGAAAAACGAGGAAACCGTTTGCTAGGGTGGACTGACCGCCTCCAGCGGAGTGGGCCCCTGAGGTCTGGGGGGCGCTGGCGCGGGCCCTGTTCGGAATTCCCTGGGGTCACCAGCGCCGCTGGGGTGCGGGGACCCCCTTTTCCGTCGGGGCTGCCCTGCCCCAGACACACAGGGACCCGCGCTTCGGCTTCTCAGCCAGCTTCTTCTGGCCCCTTATGCTCACCGTGGGACCGTTGCCACTAAACCCCAGCAGTGACCCGGCCGAAATCAAGCTCGCGGTGGCCCAGGTCGCGGCCGCAGCAATCAGCTCCCGGGAACTCCTGGAGAAGAGGTGCATTTGGCCCTTTGGGGGCTCCAGGCCCGTTGGCCATTGTTGGGATGAACAAAGAGGGCAGGAGCGGAGGGCGCCCCCACGGGGCAAGGCGGGGAAGGACACCGACGGGCGCGATTTCGAAGGCGGGCGAGGCTGGCACCGGGTGCTGGGGAGAGCGGGCTGCGAGCCGGGGAGGCAGGGCCGGTCCCGCCCGCCGCGCCCCGCACGCGCCTCGCGCGCCGTCTGGCGCCCGCCGCAGCCCTTTCCTTCGTCGCGGCCACTTTACTTTTATCCCCCTTTCCCTTTTATTATTATTATTATTACTATTAATTATTATATTATTATTATTGTATTTTTCCCGCGCAAAGCGGGAAGCGGGGACTGCACGAGCGAGCTCCGCGGAGGGGCCGCCATTTCCCGGGGAAAGCGCAGCGCGCGGCGGCACCGGGCGCCCCGGAAAGGGAACCGGAGGGGAGTGCCCGGCCCCGAGCCCTCCTCCGCGCCGGCCGAGGCTCATGGGGCTCACGGAGCTCGCAGCGCCCCGCTACCGCGCAGCGGCCCCCGGCGTCGCCCCCGCCGCCCGCGTCCCCGGCCTGACCTTCCGCGGCGCGGCCCGCCCCCGGCCCGCGGCCCCCGGCCCCCTTCCCTCTGGCCCGCGCCCCCGCGCCCCTTCCATTGTCAGCCCCGAGCGGGCCGGCGCCCAGCTCCGCACCCTCGGAGGCCCCCCGAGCGGCCCACCGCCCCGGAGCAGTCCCCTCGGCGGCCGGGCGCCTCCTTCCTCGGCTCTGGCGCCCCGAAGTCCGCATCCCGGGAGCCCTCCGCTCCCTGCCGGGCCGGCCTCGCCGCGGCCCGCCGCTGGACCCCGCATCCCGCCGCCTCCTCCCACCTCGCCCAGGATGCCCCCGCTCCTTGCCGGCCTCGGCAATTTTACCGCTTCTTTCGCACCCCCGCCCCCCCCCCCCCGCCTTTATTTCGCGAGGAAGCAAGTTGGGCAGCTTGATTTATTAATTCTTCTCTCTTTTCTTTGGCGGGGAGGGTCGGCTATCGGGGCGCGCCGGCAGGGGCCGGGCGGCAGGAGAGGCAGGGGTTCTCTCCGGCCCCTGCGCTGCCCCCGCGGCGCGTTTTGTCTCCAGACCCCGGAGCCCCCTGAACAATAATGCCATCGCCATGGCTGGCTCACCTGGTGCTGCGCCGCCTGCTCCGGGCGCCCGGTGCCCTCGGCGCGCCGCTCCCGGGGCGCAGGTTCGGCCCGCGCGGCGCCGGTGCCGGGCAGGACTCTTTGCCTTTCTTTGGGTTCTATCGGTGCTTGTCAATGGCGGCAAGCGGCAGTTCTCCGGGCCGCGGATAGTAGCGGGGGGAGGAGGAGGAGGGAGAAGGGATTGCTCCTTCTCCACATAACCACCTCTAGGAGGAGTCGCTCAGCCTCATCCCCCGCCAGCCCAGGCTCCGCGACGGGTCCGGGGCTTTCGGTGGGGCTTGATGAGCTATTGTCCTTCAGGAGCATTAATGATGAAACCGCGCGGCCTCCGCGTCGCGGGCGGATCTGCCGGCTGCGCCGAGGGGCATTCGCGGAGACGAGGCTTTCCCCAGGGCCGGGAACAGAAGCGCTACTGTCAGGATCCGGAGGCTCCGGAGAGCAGGAGCCACCTTTGGTGGGAGAAGACGGCGTGGGCGTTCATCGGGCTCTTCTGTGGAGAGCCTTAGAAGGGGAAAGCCCAAACGGCCCCCTTCTATGGTCTCGTGTCCTCAAATAATAACGAATACCAAACAGGAACGTTCGTGTCTACTCCTGGGGCTGTTGCCTAGAGTGGCCACGGCCACGAGAACCGAGAATGTGTATCCATGCCTGTTGGCTTTTTATAAATTCAGACCAGTTTAGATTCCAGCGTTGCATAATATTAGCAGATGGATGTTTTGGTGGGGGAGACGGTGTGTGTGGACATAATTTTTAATTCGGTTGCTTTACCGTGTGTTAATTCGTAATATCGAAGCAGGTGTTAAGATGGGCGCGAGGCTATTGTCTTAAGGACCAAATGTTAGTTTCCAGGAAATGTATTTTTCTAGGGATGCGGTGGACGATATCAGGTGTGATCATGGAATTAGTAGTAGCTCTCTTCTACTGGAAGCCATCTCCTTTGTCACTGGAGATGGTGGTGGGGGCTCCGTGGCTGGGAGCGAGTCAAAGGAATGTGTTTATTGCAGGGAGAAGTGTTCACTTGCTATGGGCCACCCATGCTTCCTCGGGTTTCTCCCCATGACTCAAAGGATTGGGAGAGGCGAAATTTTGACCTCTTCATAAAAGAGAAACCCACAGGAAGACACAGGTCTCCAGCATTGGTCAAATGTGTGCTTTTCAGAGCCTTTCACATTTGGTAATATTGTGTACATCTGCCCCCATAAACCTGTAAATGTTTAGGTGGTGGGAAACATTGGGAGTGACTGAGAGCCTCCAATCCCTGGAGTGGGAAAGAACCCAAATGCCCAGCTGCCCTCAGGATTTTCATTAGTCCATGGGGGCTGTTGATGGAATTAGTAGATAGGGCTTTAGACCGAATGCCTTTTAAACAAGTATTTTGCTGAGAAATCTGTCTGCTTCCCAAAAGATCGTGCATATATCAGAAAGGTATAAATAAAACTCCCTTTGTTGAAATCTCATATGGCTTCTCCAGCTCTCCTGGACACAATGGTCTCAGTTTATGGAGACTTCCTTCACTCTTCTTCCTATCTCTTTTACCCTCTCTGTATATGACCTCACTCTTCTTTGTCTTTGAAGGTACTCTCCAGGTCAGAAATCTAGTCAGGATAAAGTCCTCTTTTCCCGAGACATATATTTAAAGGGTTTCAAATGATCCCTTGGGGGCATCTCAAATGGTTTCGATTTTCCTGTTCTAGAGGAAGTGCCTATCTCCCTTCTTATATAGATTTTTGGTGTGTCCATTCTTGATCACAAATAACCTCCAGGCCAACATTCAAAAGAGTTCAGGAGCCTTCTGGGAGTGCTTGAAAAATGCTCCTACCCTGTGACCCACTCAGCCTGGCTGACTGAGATATAGTTGAATAATTCATCAATACATATTAGATTCACATTGTCCCTGTAACTTCACCATAAAAACGGTACACTTGGTCAATTTTATGTGCATTTTATGTAACTCATTTCATCCTAGCATTTTGTTATGTGCTTTCTGAGAAAGGCTGGTCTAAGAATTTACTGGTCCGCGTTCTCCCGTTTCCTCCTGGTTGTTTTCTTCCAATAGATGATGTAGTCACAACTTGGAGAGTCAACGGGGGTGTCAGCTTCATAAGGCTCTTGTTCCTTGAATAGAAGGGTTCATAGAGGCCACCTGCCTATATGTTATAGGATGAAATCTGATCTTCAGGTGGGTCAGGTGACTTAGTCAAGGCCACATGGGTGAAACTCTGGTTCACTTACCGTTACCCAGCCTAAAGCCATTTCCCCCAACTCCAAACTTCAGAGGATGTACGGGGGATAAATAAGCAACCTAATATGCGGATCTAGTTAAATTATATGTATTTATTATTGGACATTTGACACATGAACAAAAATTTGACCCGATAATATTGGCTATTTAAAATGGTCAACGTAATTAGAAATTCATCAGTAATTGTAAGCTCTGCACTGACCTACCTCAAGGAATCTCAGACAAAGAGAATAATATATAGGAATAACGAGAGTTCGCACTTCCTGCATTTTTCCAGAGTGCACTGTACTTTTACCCTTACTAACTCATTTAATCCTCACAACGACTCTGTGGGTTGGGCAGTATTACCTTCTCCGTATGGACAGAGAAACTGAGGCAAAGAGTGAATGTGAAACTTGCCCCCAGTTATGGAGTTAGGAAGTGGCGGTTTCCTGATCTTAATCCCTGTGCTAATCTGGTGGGAGGGAACGTGTGCGTTCACTTCAGGTGAAGTAATTTTGTGATCGGTCACCGGACGATTCCCGATACATATAATCAAGGAGGCGGTGAAAAGCCCAGGTGCGGCAGGTTTGGTTGATTACCACCGCGCTGAAAACATTTTCTTAACCTTCGACTGTGTGTGTAGATAACATTATGAATAAATGGGTTGGCTGTGAGTTGACTCCATCAGCGACAAAGAGTCTAGCGAACATTTTATTGAGGTGCAGGATGGATTTCTTCTTCACATAGGGAGTCATGCTTTAGATTTATGTGATTTAGAGATGGGGGAAAAAAAAAAGAAACAGCCATGCAGCTAGATTCATAGTCTGTGGAGTCTACTAGTCATTCGTTCACAAAATCATCTATTTTAAAGACAGCTTCATTGATTTTGCCCCCCCCCAGTTTTATTTTCTTATGATCCCAATGTATGATGTTCTGTGAATTGAGTGGGTGTTTATTTTCCATGATTTGTTCCAATATAGTTCGTGACACCTATTATAATTTATGGTCATTTTACCCTTCTGAGATGTTGGTATGCAATGACCCTATTAATTTCCTGACCCTCGCCTCTTCCAGAAGGACTGTTTCGTGTGGGCATATATTTATATCTGGCCTACGTGAGTGTATGCGTATTATGTGTTTAAGATGTATATATCCAGATTAATTTCATTTGAGAATTTCTGCTCCCCTTTGAAGTAACTTGAGATTCCCTGGGAGTGTCATAAAAACAGATGGAAATCATTGGTTTAAGCTCTTCTTTGAATGTAAGTTAGGCAATTCTAGATGCTGTATTAATTCCATCAAGGCACCAACTGGCATAACTTGAAATAGCAACACGGAGGCCTGAGGTTATGAGTGCAGGCAAAGCTCCAGGCTAAAAAGTACCCCACCATTCTAGGAAACGAACACAGCTTTTAAATGTACACTATAACCTGAGAAATACTAGGCAATCTGACTCAAAATTTTTTATTGGCTAGAAATATGCAAAGTCTTCCCCGGTGTTATATTTTGAGTGGTGAACATTTGATTAATGTTTAATTAATCACTTGATTTCCTTCACCAAAACTGGCAGCTTTAGGATCTTAATCACTTAGGAAAGGGAATGATGTCTTTAAAGAAACACATAGGCCCTTATTATGCCAACAACGCCTATTGTTAGTAGCTCTAGTTAAAATGAACATCGCTGTCTCCTAAGAAAAGGAACATCTTAATAGCCCAGGTTTTTAAAAACAGCAATAAAATATGTCCTTTTCAAGGCTAAGCCCTGACCATTTGGTTCTGGGACAGGGAGATTTACATAAGTGAGTCTCTTTGTGTGTGTAGATAAGTAACTATGTAGATACATCTCTCTATAAATTTATAAACATTTGGGATGTGTGTGTGTGTGTGTGTGTGTGTGTGTGTGTGTGTGTGTGTGTATTATGAGATGGGTCATGACTTCTACAGCAGTAGGCTCAGAGTTAAGGCTGATAGGGATTTTAAAGGAATCAACCAAACGTTTAGCATTTAACTGATGATGAACTACGCTGTAAAAGAAAATTAAATGTTGCAGGTTTTCAAGAGAAATACATTATCAGCCCCAGTGATGCAAAGTTGTGGTTAGGAAGAGAAGGCATGAGATGTCATTATTAATGGAAACAGAACCCGGAGCTAAGGGGAGTGTGCCAGTTGGGATCTTGCTGTGCCCGGTGCCAGAGCTCTCCGGGAGATCAACCCATTACCTCCAGACAGAGCTCTTTGCCATGATTGCGGTGGGAAGTGGCAGCATGCGTCTACAGAGACTGGACCTTAGCATCTGTGTTGGGAGATCTGTGCAATGTGGCCTCTCACCCGAACAAAATTGCTCTTTACGATTTAGACCCATTCTAGAGAATGGGGGGGACAGATTTTTGAAATCCACAAAAGCTGAATACCATAGTAAAACTATAATTTATTTATACAAATGGTGTGTTTTTACAAAGGCCATCTGTCAGTTGACTCTCTGATCTAAAACAAATCTGTTTGTTCCCCCAAAAGAAATAACATGTCTGTTGAAAAAGGATTTATGGACGACAGGCTGCCCAATCCACCAGCCATTGGTATAATAGCAACTATTTATGATATATTTACTTCTACAGGAGGGCTGTGAGTGGAAACTATTACTTGTAAAGTATGGTAATTAATTTTCATTACCTCGAAGCCAAGAAATGGAGCCCAGTTGCATTTATTAAGATTACTGCATGAAAAACATGTTTCTTCTGGGGAGAAAAATCCAAATAAAAACACTTGGAGAG